CCTAATTTAGCAGTGTAAGACTAGAGGGAAGGCAGCTAGTCATCACCACCCACCGCCAACTCTTGGGCTACTCTTTTACCAACGAATAGTGGGATTGACCGTCACATTATAACGCCCCCACGGCTGAAAGGGCGAGCATGTTTGGTGTGGCAGGGATTCGAACCCGCGACCCTCAGAATCCGAGTCGAGTGCCTTAACCACCAGAGAGATTTAAGCTGTTAAGAATGATAAATTATATCACCCAAAGTTGTATTTGAAAATAAATCACAGACTTGAAGAAAGACACACGGAGTTCAAAATGTCGTCTCAAAATAACAACAAAAATAGTGACGAAGAAAGCCATAAGAAAAATGTCAGCACGTCAAATGTACTGCCTTTACCTTCCCTGGAAAGATAACATGGATAATTTTTTAACATCACTGTATACTCACCTTCTTTAACATTACCCCAACCAGTGACTGTTGCATCTTGACCAACAAAATCCTCATTCTTTTCAGGAAGACATACTGAATTAATATAATGTTCATCATCAAATATGATGTCGCTACTCAGTTTAAGAATGGCGATGTCGTAATCAATTGTCCAAGTGTTGTATTTTTCGTGTATTTTAAATTCTGCAACCTGTTAAGAAAATAAAATTACATTTTGATACTTTACTCTTCACCATACATGCAATTTGAACTAACTTCAGAAGTTGTCCCATATATCTACGTATAACTTAGAGTCTTAAAAACACAATCAACTGCTTACTAAGGTAATAAGAAGCAGTGAAAATCAAAATATAAAAAATAAATGATATTAAAAGCTCGAGGTTAAAATTTGAGACAGATATTTCAACGTTTTATGGCGTCCTCTTAAGTGGTAATATTAGAATAGATGAGGTTTTTAAATAATATTATTTAGCTCTTAACTTAATGATTTGAAATTGTCTCATTTTACTTAAAGGTGAGTTTTTATTTCATTTGATTTAAACAAATGTAATATAAATATAAAACATCTAAAGAATAATATGATAGTTTCAAAGACGACCGAATAATTTTAATATTAAACCAATCGATGTAATGTAGAATGGCGATCCGAATGACATCTCTGGGATGGATGGACGGATGGATAGATAGATAAATAGATGGTCTTTTGACTGTTGTAGATCAACAATTAGAAATCTGTCACACATGTCTACTTTAGTTTGAAAGATATATTTACCACAGTATAACTATAACCTTATTCACTTATCATCATTATTCGTAAAATGTTTGGGTTGTTTGAATTTTTGGTATTTATTGTTAAAAAAAAACCAAGCTATGAACAGAGTATGACCTGGGTTTTAGAAGAGTACTTGTATTTGTTCTGTCTCTGGATATGCCTTTTCTTCATCGTAACATTAGTAATCTCAGAGAGTACCACATTTGTTATACTTTAAGTATCTGATCATTAACGTGCGAACAATGCTCGACTTCTAAGTTTGTTTCATGAGCATTATAGGTAAACATTTTCAGCAAAATGAATGCAAATTTCCAGTTTAATAACCAAATAAATACGAAAAAATTGCTATTAAGTTTCAACTGTAACTTCAGACTGAAATACTGTATCATTGAAAAACTAATAACTAAACAGCCTTCAATTTGTTTTTGTCGTATCATCCTTCTAGTAAAAACAGGATTAATTTTCATTTTGATCTCAAATGATTTTATAGTTATATATTTTATAAATATTTATAACACGTTATAACACATTTGATGAAACGTATTTAAAAGGAAGATAAAACAGCCTGATAATTTGTTATTGGGCTCTGAATTAATACTGGAAGATAAACAAAAGCTAAAATGAAATAAATAAATATTGTCGCATAGAAACATTTGGATGGTAAACGATAGTGTTGCAGCTTTAGTATTGAAATTCTTAGTTCCATATTACTATTACGTTTCTAGTAATAGCTTTCAAAATGTGGTTTTAGTCTTACAAACCTTTATACGCTGTTCTCGTTTGTTTCCTGATATGATGTTGTGGCCACCGATGAGAACTTCAAATCCACGAACTGAGGGCAAACTAAATAACAAAAATAAACGATTATCATAACCATAAACACTTTAGTCAGCCACTCAATCTGATCATCAACACTTGGAGTTTTCTCTTCATTGGGGGGTATCAAGATAAACAAATGGAATATATTGTATACCTCCATAAGGCTTAACAACAACAACTAAAAAGAACAAAAAGACCCAGATCGAAACATTATCTACAAAGAAGCAGATTTTTAATAAGCCAAATGTATTGATATCGTATATAAAATATCAATCACGTTTTCACTCCCCACGTGGGATGTTACAGAACTTACTCTTCCACACAGTGAGCAGCAGTGATTATCCATCTTTTGTTGTAGATCGAACCTCCACAGATGTGATACCGATAGTGTTGAAGAGACACCTAGGAGAAAATTTCACGAATTCAGTTTCTCTGTACATATATAATTGTGTCTTCAATATCTAGCGTAATTTTTCCAATTTCCTCTAAGATGTTGCCTCTTACAGTTATAGAACCAAGTCAACATAGCATACTGTATATTTAGATACATGACACATCACTGTGCCGTTTAATCTTAATGAACAGTCGATAGAAAGGAGATTTTTATGAGTTGTTTGTGCATGTTCCACACGTGTTATATATGTAGGTTATTCATTTTATACGTGTATTTTAATCTGTTTAAAGCAGGTGACAAATGTATTTCCTTCTATTTTCTTCTTGTAATTTATAAAACCAGGATGTTTGTCATTGTTCTAAGATTTAAAGTTACGTGACCAATATATTCAGATAAGAAATCGTGTACAATGTACAGGAAATGACCGGATTTAAATCACTTTCCTATTGTCTCAAGATTCATTATGTTGAAGAAAATATTGAAAGATTCTATTAAAATGTATCATGTATCAGTTAGTTTGTAAAAGTTTTGTTAGCGGTAGAAATGTTTACTTGATAAGTTAAAGACGGGAAAACATTACCGTATTTCACATAACGTATTACACATTGTACGTTATTACTGAATATTTCATGTTATACGTACCTGCCAAGGAAATTCCCCCTCCTTAGCATACCGGCCACCCACGATCCTATCGGCGGAGCTTCTGACCTTACTTCTGCCGCATGCAGGCTGCGATGCTTCAGGAATGAAATATCCTTGAGTTAAATAAAACACAAGTAAAAACCTGGTGAGATTATGTAGGAGGGCAGGGCTCACAAGCTTTCAAATTAGATTAATTGTGTATAAGTTATAGGTATCTGGTTAACACGATTCATGATGATAAACAAAATTAAAGGTAGCTTAAAATGCTATGTATTTTACTTTAGATTCTCTGAACTTTGAGAAATTAGGAATTTCTGTCTTTAAGGAAGAAGTTAGTTACAATATACTATAGAAATATAATTTGCCGATAGAGGGCTTTAAGGCTTTGTTTGTTTAGCGCAAACGTACACATTGGTCTACTTTCAATCTATCCATCGCGGGAATCGAACTCCAGATTTTAGCTTTGTAAGTCCGTAAACTCACTACCGAATACTAAGGCAAGTAACCGTATTGCAATTATTTTTACAGGCTAGTAGTGAACATCAACAAATACTGTGACAAACAACCGTATTATAATTATTGTTTTTACAAACTAGTAGTGAACATCAACAAATACTGAAACAGAGAACCATATTATAATTAATTTTTTACAGACTAGTATAGTTAACATCAACAAATACTGAAACAAAGAACCGTATTATAATTATTGTTTTTACAGACTAGTATAGTTAACATCAACAAATACTGAAACAAAGAGGCATATTATAATTATTGTTTTTTACAGACTAGTAGTGAACATCAACAAATACTGTGACAAAGAGGCATATTATAATTATTGTTTTTTACAGACTAGTAGTGAACATCAACAAGTACTGAAACAGAGAACCGTATTATAATTATTGTTTTTTACAGACTAGTAGTGAACATCAACAAGTACTGAAACAGAGAACCGTATTATAATTATTGTTTTTTACAGA